GGGCCAAATGTGGGTGACTTTACGTTCAAGAAGGACACGGTGGTCACAATTGATAGCAAATCCTGTGCTAAAGTAGATAAACAATCCGTACCAGTAAACTCACAACTACTCTGCCAGCGTCTGCTAACTGTTGCACGTGAGAACTCTGAGAATTTGAGTGACGTAATCAAGTATGAGCTGTGCAACCAACCATCTGCTCTGTTTGAACAACCTGGACTACCTCGCGAAGCTAAAAATCAGTACTAGCAGATGCTATCTGGAATATGGCTAAAGGAGATGACATGCATGCTGCACAACCTCTGACACATCAAATGCAGTATGTACTTGATGGTGGATCACTGCTATCTCGACTACCATGGCCCAGAGGTGCAACATTTGATTCTATCTGCATCATGTATGTGGACTATTTCAGGAAATTTCAACAGCCTACTATTGTGTTTGATGGCTACATGGCAGGACCATCTACAAAAAACATAACACATTCTTCACGGTCTCGTGGTGCAGCTAGAGTAAAGGTTAACTTCAATCACTCTACCAGTTTCACCACCAAGAAGGAACAGTTCTTAACGAATGCATCCAACAAACAGGAGTTTGTGAACATGCTTTCCCAGAAACTGGTGTCTGCTGGCTGTCATGTTCTACAAGCAGAAGGTGATGCTGATGTTCTCATTGCCAAAACAGCAGTGGAGTATGCAAATGAATGTTCCAACACAGTTATAGGAGAAGACACCGACCTAATAACTCTTCTCATCTTCAGTACTAATCCAGACTCGGAGGCACTCTATCTTCAGTCTGACAAGAAGAAGGGAAAGAAGTTCCGAGTCTGGGACATTCACTGGTTCCAGAGGTCAGTAGGGCCAGAAGTGTGTACCCTACTGCCATTTGTACATGCCATTGCTGGTTGTGACACTACATCTCCTCTGGTATTGGTAAGGGCGTTCCACTTCGAAAGTTAAAGTCAGAACAGATATTTAGAAAGCAAGCTTGTGGATTTTCTGAAGTTGCAACCAAGGATGAGGTACAGAACGCAGGTGAAGAAGCACTTGTATGTTTCAGTATGGTGGGCAACCAAACGAAGGTCTTGACAAGCTGCGATACCACAAGTACTGTGATAAGGTGTCAACAAGTACTTCTCCAGTCCAGTTACACACTCTCCCACCCACTGCTGCAGCTGCTAGGTATCACAACATGAGAGTCTATTACCAGGTACAGGAATGGATAGGTCAGCCTGCACTATATCCGAACCAGTGGGGATGGAGTCTGGTAGAGGGTCGACTGAACCCCACAACAGATCTACCACCAGCACCACAGGCACTGCTGAAGGTTGTTCATTGCAACTGTCAAAGTGACTGCAGCTCACGAAGATGCACATGCAGGAAGATGGGAATGTTCTGCGGCCTGTGGTGAGTGTAGGGGTACCAGCTGCAACAATTCCTCTCCAGTGGACATGAACGAAGAAGATGATGTCAACTTATTTTATTAGACAGTGAACACATTATAACGGCAATAGACTTTCATATTTCTCACAATAAATGTATTCCTATTATATTACTTCAGCAATTTGTTTTCTATTGGCAAACTGGTCAAGCAACATTATGTCATGTTATGAATTTCTTACAGTGGAATTCTGATCTAGCATGGGGCGAGCCAGAGCTGTAGCGGGTCTATGATCTAGCATGGGGCTAGCCAGAGTTGTGGCATGTCTCTGATCTGAATATTTACACTTATATATGATATTTAAACCATATATAATTTTAAGACATTTAATGTATTCAAATCTCACTAAACTGTGTGAACATATATTTGATGATTTATTTATAGGAAAATTAAAAATGATACACTTTAGTACAACAGTAGGTGCAGTATATTTGGAAAAAGTTAAAAAATAAATACATGAACTATTAATTTATTTTTTAGACATATTTATAGACATATTTTTAGACATTAATTTATATTTTAGAAATTCTGTTGCAATTTTTTCTAGGTCTATACACAGAATGACCGGACTATAAGTTCACGGCAGTCTTGACTATATATTCTGTAGGTTATTCTGAAGTCACGGTGACCGAACACGGTCTGCAATCTGCACGCCTCGGCCGCGGGTTGAAGGCTTTGCCCGTTTTTAACACTACCGATCTCGGTAAACTTAGGCTCATCGATGCAGCAATGATTCCTGTAAGAGCATATATATTATTCGAAATTTTATTCTGTTATTAGAAATTACGTTCCGTTTTAATGTAACGGAGACCGAGAAGATTAAGTTTATAACGCGTCGATTTCCTAGGAGGTTTTTGTTTTAGAAGTAGGAATTAGCATGGAAGTAAGTCTATAATTGCTCTTTGAGGCAGTATTTGCTACTGCAAACGGGGTTAAACCTTATTACATATTAAACAATTTGCAAATGTCCCTAATGTGTTACATTAATGCATGCAGTGTCACCTCTTAGGTCTGGCCCATCAATCTAAGTGTCGTTGACACACTTGTTATTCTTGAGATCTTTGCCGGCCTCTGTGCCTCTCTAAACATTTTAACGCTCTAGGTTATCTTGTAAACATAAGTTGGGCCGACCAGTGTATCATTTCTTTTGTACTTTCACTCAGTAACATTTTACCCCCGAAAGGCTCACACGCCACTTCTGAATCAGCCAGCAGCATTAATTTGGAAGGTGTCTCTTTAATAAGTTCAGTAGTTAATATTGCTTATAAAATTGAAATCAAATTGGATCTCATTCAGAATTAAATATAACCGATTAAATGACGTAATTGTAAATCAAATCCAGTATAACTCCGGAATCCCCTTCACCAGCTCTCTTGCTACGCAATCGTTGCGCGTCAATGGGTGCCAGCTAGCCTACATTCGCGTCATCTGTGTTAAATTTAATTGTTTAAAGAGGTTAGCCTGGGAATGCGGCCGTTCAAGTGGAAATAGTGAATATATATGTTTGAATTGTTGAACCTTGTTAAAGACATAAGTTTAGCTTCTAGATTCATCTTCGTAACGCCCAGTACGTGTTCTCTCGTTCCAGTTTGCACCTCAGGAAGTGGCTGAATCTTCGCAATTTACGACACCGCTGAATTCCGGAAATAGTTATTTAGCTTTCAAATAGAATTTAGGTTTGATCTTTTATATTTGTGTCTATTTCCTAACAATATTCTACAATCTACAGGTAACGGAGATGAATTTGCTACATTTATTTACGGCCAATAACTAAGCGACGGCCGCGCCCTACGTGACTAGATTGCGAGACAACCCTGACAAGCAGCCAGACTGGCAGCGGTTATACAGACATAAATCAATTCAAGCAACGTCGACAGAACGGTCGAACACAGCAGCAGACGTATGGCCACGAGCTGGCACGAACGTCACTTAAGTAGAAGCCATCACAGGCGTTACGAAGTACGGCCGCTAACAATTCAACGGACATGCGCGACTCAAGACAGCTTTTTTAGAGTCCAGACAATAGCTACAGAACCACAACCGCGGTACGGCTACTTAGAACAAACATCATTACGGCAGAAGACTTTCGTGATCGATACGGTCATGGTGTAGCAACCGCGCTCCAGGATTGCACTACGGACCAACGTTTTCTGGTGAAGCAGGAAAGTTCGAACGAACAGCGGTTAGAGGCTTGTAATTTAGAAGTGATCGACTAATTTCTATCATGTTATGAATTTATTTACGTGTATTTGGCAGCAATGATTTCATCACCTTAGAATCTGCATTTATTTCTCCAGTTTAATTTGATATAAAGTGATTCATTCTGACCCTCGCGTACAGGATTAGCTGTGAGCCTGTGATCGATTCATATGAAAATTTTTCAATAAAAACGTGCCTCATTGACCGTCCTGAGCCAGATTCGCTACCGATAAGAACAAGTTTTCAATGCACTAGGGGTGTGAACTAATTTTTTAATACAAGAAATGTAAAAAGAAACTAAAACCGACCTCGTACAATGATACACACGGTTTATTCCCGTTTGGAATGATGTGAATTTTATTTTTCCTCTGCATAATTTTGAATATAAGCTGTGTATCATTCAAATTTTAGACTTTCGTGAACTGCATTTGGTCTCGTGGAACTCAGTCCTCAGTGACGATGTCCCTTTGAGCAAATAATAATAATTTTAAACTCCAACAGGAGTCGGCTAGGATCTATATCAGTATGCCCTAAATCAGTTTTCTTTGAAAGCTAACCCCCCTCCCCCCACTTCAATCACCCCTCCCCCTCCCCGAGGCTTCGTCAGGGAAGGGATGCAGAACAACAGTGGAGCACGCTTGCCCTGAATATAAAGCAGACTGCTCAGTATATTTCGCAATTCAGAATCACGCATATGAAATCACTCAATTCCAATTTTTATAGTGCTCGATTTATATTAATTTTATTATCGCTCAACAAAAGCAGTCTATTCACTAGAAAGAATGAATCGTGACTGGGAATTATTGCACAGTTCTTTCTTGCTAATTTTGGACGGCAAAACTTCATATTGCTTGGTGATTTATCTTAGCAATTCCAAATCGATCATCTGATATTTTTCTATTAAATATTCTTACAGTCATTAAGTTCTTTCCAACGCGAAATTTTTTGAAAGCCATTTATAAATTTGTATGCAGACAGCCATATCACGCGTCGATTTTTCCTTGCTGCTGATTCCACGACACGGTGGATGGAAGTCGAGTTTACATGCAGAACCAAAACAGAGCGTTACTTGTGGAAACTTGGTTGGAGATGAATAAGTTGGCTATGAACTCTGTATATTTTGAAATGTTATAACAAATAACCCCTCTCAATTAATATCCATTTCAAATTCTAAACAAATTTGACTGTGTGTAGGGAGTAAAATAATCGCGTTGCACAGTCAATACAACTATGGGATATGAAAGTGTTGAGTAATGTCCTCATGGTCTCGGTTCAGTGATGATATGGCTTGAAAACTGAAAATTCTGTTTCAAAATAGAAAGTTTTGGTTACTTTAATGAACTCTAGGACGTTGAAACAGACAAGACGTTTAAAGACATTAGAATTAACATGTAATTATTTGTAATATTTAAAAAAACGAAAGTTTTATGCGCTAAAGAAAACATTTCAAGATCCGCAAATTGATGAAGATTGGGAGTGTTAGTAATAGCGGCCCGAATTACTTGAATTCTGGTGCAATACTGTTACTGATTATGGGTAGGAATCCCATGGAAGAAATAGTTCGCTTCTACATGCTGTGGTGAGAACTACGATGTGATTTTCTTACTTACAGAAGTGCAGGAAGCCATACGTTTCTAATTCCTCCATTTTGGGATCACTCTTAGTTTCCTTAAGTTTATTTCAGAGATAAAAGCAAGATGTTCGCGCCTACTCAGGATAGGCGAAGGAGGACTCCGATGTCGTTTCTTGGCTCTGGCCTTTTATTGTGAAAAGCACTGAAGCAACCTTGGCTTCATTGCTTCTCTAAATGCTGATTAAATGGTCCTAGCTTCATTGAGGAGAATTGAGTAAATTTCTGAGCTGAACTTACTATCGTTTTCAGAGTCAACCCTGGACTTTCCCTCAATCGTCCGAAATTACAGCTTTTATTGGCAAAAGATTTTAAGGTGGCTTAGAGAATGGAACATCGCTGAAATACAATTCTGCAATTGTATGACAGTTAAGTATATATCCTGATAACATGAATATTCCATGATACTATCTTTGTTTCTAAAGATTACTAGCTTGAAATCTTATTAGGAGGAAGCATGCGTGGAATTTCAACTCCGACGACATCCCTAATATGTTAATTCTGACATACTTATAAGTTATAACAAGTGCAGGTTTGCACTATCTGAGAATTATCTACTCCTATGTATCGCTGCTTATTACGACCTCATGAGCCACATTACCAACATCCTGCGGTTTGTACGTTCAAGTTTTTTTTCTATTTCCAGTTGGGACGTGTCTGTCAGTCAGGGCAAGTGACGTACTATAATTAAAAGCTTTCAATCATTTTAGTGACAAAAATGTAGTCCGAATTATCTTGAATGATATACACTATTTTCACTCGCATGATGCTGTTTGCGTAAAACTACTTTGGATTAATTGTTGATCTCAAAGAAAGAAATTCTCACCAAATAATTAAACATTGTGACCATCGCATCCATTCCGTTACAGTCGCAGCAAAGGAGACAAAACCAAGCAAATGTTATATCCATCTTTTTCGAGGGCTCCTCTTCAGCGCAGTCAGCCGAACGCATTAAGCCTCAGGAAAGACGGCAACACGGCCGCTCGGCGCTCCTACAAGATGTGTTATTTCTTATACTTATCGAAAAGTAATTACGCATATTTCATTTGATCAAATTAGTAGTACTGCATACAATTTAGTTTAATTGTTAACATATGTTAGATGCATAAGTCTCCACTGTCTTCGATTATTGAATTGAACGAAATGAGTTTTCACTTAAAACTATCACATGATACTCAGATAAAAATGTAAACGATACCATATGATTAACATACATAAAAATTCAAAGCGCGCTCTTGCTTGTCCACCGCGGAAATTTTCTCCTATTCCCCAGAGCCATTGATTCACATGGGAAGGGGATATGTGTTACAGTTACAAGGCAAATGTTAACCTTGGAGTAAAACAACACCATTTCTGTAGAACGGAAAACCTTCAGATTCTTTGAAACGCAAATGTTAATATTGAATATTCAACAGGGGTACTGAAATATTTTTAAATGAAAATATCAGATCAATACTGTCAGACAATATTTTCCAATACTTTACTCGTAATTATTTTTATCGAATTGTTTTTAAATAAATCTGTTACTCAGAATCAAACAATTTCAAATGAGGTAAAAATGAAGTCTGTCACCGTGGCATCCCGGAAAAATGAATTCAACCAATGAACATCATAATATACAGTTTTATGAAGGTAATTTACTTTTACAGTGAACGTAAGGCAGTCCCCAAGTGTCGCCTGGGTAGTAACGGATGGTGGGTATGAGGTAAGGTGCGTCCGAGGCAGCTTTGAGATACGCGAAAACTGTGAGGTTGAGGTATGAACCAACACCACACAGCAGATGCCATATGTTGTGTAGCCCTGGCAGCCCAAGACTCAACCAAAAGTTGCACATCGCTCTGTCAGCCACCCAAAAGGTGATACCTAGGATATTCAAGACGAGGCTCAGTCTGACCAAGCTGAGAGAATATTTTCTCTTCACAACGAAACATTCGTTATATAGGAAATAGTAAACTGGAGCGCCCATAGTCATCATCCAGAAGGCGTTGGTGTAGGGAGCTACAAACCACATCAAAGTTAGAAATGTGGCCAAGAAAAGGGCTACAATATTGGCTCGAGAACCTCTGAATATCACAGGCCTATAGCAATCGGCTGTTAGTGAAGCATAAGCCACACACATTACCCAAATGATCCAAACTTCGTCCAGAAGCTGACCGAACAAAGAGAGCGTGCCATGAAAATACGCACTAGCGATGCCAATTAGGGCTGTTAAGTAAAGGATGACCTGAGGGCCATTTGATATGTGCTTGCGATAAGACCTCCAGAGTTGATTTTTGATGCAATATGCGGGGATGATGACAGTGAGGACATTCGAGAGCGAATTGGTGAACTCGGCGATGCTGCTGCTGACAGTGTAGTTCTCCTCACACCAATCCACGGGCGAGGATCCTGCCGCCAGCCATTTTTCGGTTATGGTTTGCTGTTGGGATAATGGAATTTTAATGTAACCATGTTTCATTTACTGGAATTTTATTGTAATCTTGTTTCATTTAATAATTTTACTCTGAAGAGTCTACTAACCGTATTAAAAAATAGGTCTCGGTATTACTAGAATACACGATGCGTAACTAGTTAACGGAAACAATATTCATCAATAAAACAATGATTGATTTCATTCACATTGCGATTTAATCCCATGTGCAAACGATCGCAAGGCCAGTTCCTCGTTAGAATCATCAGCTAATAATTTAATGACGATAGGTGTGAACGACGCTCTAGCAAGCTTCGTAGGGAATGACAAGAATTGGTAAAATTATTAATAAGAAAACTAATTTTAAATTTAATTTTGATGAAAGCTGACGACAAGGATTAAATAAACGCTTACCATATTCACTGCTGAAAATTCAGGGGGAATTAAAAAGCGCCTCGAAAAAAATTCCTGAAAATCGTTTCAAATTCCTTGCAAATCGACACGAATTTCACTCTACAGAATTAGGCTCATCAGTTAAATCGCTCAGAATTTTTTTATTACAGAAAACCAGTTTCATTATGCGTGGAAATTCGTGTTCGCGACACGTTGCCGAGTATCCATGATACTCGGCAACGAGAAAATGGGCTCTCTGTCACTCACTGCAGTGAGTACTGATATATTTTTTTAGGAAATTAGCAATCGATCGGAAATTAGCAATCCGTTTTTTCTAACTTTTGAATACCCTTCGCAAAATCAAAAGTGTAAAACTTGCCTTGCTACGTATGCTTAGTTCACCATTTGAAAATTAGTGTCGAATCTTATTTCATGCTACTATATATAAAGCTACCTGGTTCAAGTGGCCTGATGGACGAAAGAAACTTCTGGTCGCTTCCCTAAATCCATTCAATGAAAAAAAAGGAGCAATGTAAAACATCGTTGGGAGAAGGTAAATGTCTCCCTTCGTAAAACTGATGAATGATGTCACCGACTGACAGATCTACGGACAGACGGACGGACATGACGAGTACAATAGCCTTTTTTTCATAAATGAGAAAATGCGCAAAAAAGGCAGAAAACATGTATTCCAAAGAGTAACATTCAGTCTAGACGAATTAAAAATTTCAGCCTTCTTTTTACCTTGAAAACCATTGTGAAGTTGGGGCACGGTCACAAATTAACGCTGTGAATTTCCGTAATTTCCACTTCCTTCTTGGTTGCGTTCCAGATTAGTAGATATTTGCGAAGTTTTCCAGCAATCTATATTAATGAAATAAGTACGAGTATCTTAAAACGTTTCAGTCTACGACGAAAGTGTAAGCTCGATTCTGTCCACAAAAAGTAATTACACAGAGAAGTAGAGGATGACTCATGACCCATCCGCGCTAGAAATAAGCGCCCATTACGCACGAGAAATAAGGCGGAAATCAATGAGGGATAATTTGAGTTTGGCCAGACTCATTTTCTGGAATAAAAATCGAGAACAATACTATAGCGTATTTTTAACACCACATTTGTTAAAGAATACAGCAGCAATAATGGTGCACGTGTGCGAAGTTCCGAGATGCTCGATTTAGGTGATAAAACTGGTAGCAATCATCAAACCATTCTTTTCAAAATCTATTCTATCAACATCTATGAGCCTCCGGAACTTCCGTATCACCCGAAGTCCTCATTCACAACAGAATTTGAACAGAAGAAAGTAGTACTAGAATACCATGTAAGTGATATGCAAATTACTTCCTGTAATTTAAGTGATACGCCAGCTCACCAACTGACTACTTCGAGGGAGAAAAAAAAGACACAAGGACTTTTATCAAAGTTCAAGTAAGAACGCACTGTGCCAGGTCATAAAATAGAGTAATTGCTGGTTAGTTCTCCAAGAACCAATATTAATAAGACATGCAGGCTCCCGTTGTAATCGTCCCTAGGATCACAAATAAAAATTAACAACGACACGAGTCATACAATTCGAGGACACGGACGCAGGACCATAAAGAAGCTAACAGGAAAGAAGAACATAGTTATTAGTTCCGATGAAAACGAAGTAACGCAGGAGGATGTTAATCAATTTGTTCATCATGATCAACTTTATGCATATTTGGTTCACTTGATAGGAAGTTCGCTGTTCGGAAGTAAGAAACAAAAATGACAGGTAACATCTTTCCTAAAACTAATCCGTCCGAATTGGTTCACTGGTTCCGGAAAATAGGTTATTGTGACGAAAATAAGTTACTTACATGGCCATCAAGAATGACAGTTTTTGTTTGAATTAGAACGAATGTTAAAAAAATTGGAAATTAAAAAATGAAGAGAAAATTTTACAAGAAGTTCTCTCATGGCAGACAATAATTATCCTAATAGGTAGTGATAAACAAAAGATTAATTTTAAATGCATAATGAATTGGGTTCATAAATTCCACTGCTCACGGTCACACCATCACTCTAAGTTTCTTCTGCGCCACCCTGACAGTACGCAGTCCCAAGGTAGATTAGTTCTTTATCGAGCACAACATTTGCTCGTGAAATGCAGCACGAGAAAGTTCAAGGCACTACGACACAACAGTAGGTCCTACGTCAGTCGAGTATTTGGTAGTTGTAAAAGTTCGCAGCATCCACGAGACAAATAAATAATTACAATTCTATATTCCTGCTGTGTAAGTGTTAGCGATATACTGTGGCAATTGGTGGAGATTTCTTTTCACTCTGAGCCTTGGCGGTAACTTGCAAGATCACTAGCTGTGATTGTATCGCCGGTGCAGAAGATAACATCAGTAATTTTCAACATTTAATTAAAATATTTCAAGGAAAGAAACTCTACTTGTGATTGTTTTCGGGAAATTCATGGCACGAAACTGATAATGAGTTAGAAGATTTATTATTTTTTCGCCAACTGGCACGATTAAGCGTAGGACTTTAGGCTCACATGCTCTGAAATCGAGCACAACAAAGAATATTGTTTTAGTTCAGAAAACTATTTCACAACTTTTGGCTGTGTTATCGAAAAATTAAACTTCTGCAGTTCAAGACATGTAAAGTAAAGTCAATTCTTGTGCAACATGTAGCGTCGAGTTTACTTCGTAGTTAGCTAAAAAAAAGTTCTCACGGATTGATAAGAACAAAATTATTCAATGGTAAGCTAAACGGAAGGTTTAACTCATCGGAATTCATTTTGGGAAACATAATCAAGGGAATCATAATCAAGGGAATCATAGTTAAGGGAATCATAATCAAGGGAATCATAATCAAGGGAATCATAATCAAGGGAATCATAAAGGGAATCATAATCAAGGGAATCATAATCAAGGGAATCATAATCAAGGGAATCATAATCACGGGAACCATAATCATGGGAATCATAATCAAGTACGCGTTGAACTGTTCAACGTATACTCCCGTTCTGTTACTGACAAGAAATAACCCCGAGACCTTCGCACAAGACGACCGCGACGCGACTGCACTCCCCAGCACGTGCTCACGGGGCTCTGTATTTTCTGAAGGTCGCCAGGTATTTTCCTGGCATAGGCTGCCCAGCGCTCGCTCCTCTTCCTGGTTATAGTCCCCGAGTGATAGATGATGACGTTCATTGATTGATGAGTAGCTAGCTACATCTAGTAGCTACTTCAAACTATCGCCAGTCATGAAAAGATCCGGTCAAATGACACGAGTTTAGATCTATGAACAAGGCACGAAAAGGAAAAGAATCGGCGACAGGCCACATCAGGCCTACACTTCAGCGCCGACTTCACTATGTTATGTTATGATGTGACAGCAACGATGCGTCGTGATGATGTGACAGCAACGATGATGTGATGATGTGACAGCAACGATGCGTCGACAGCTGAGGGACCATTCGACTTCATCATAGGGAGCTTTCATGCATCCTAGTATATCAAGTAGCCAAGGCTAGAGATTAAAAGAAATCTTATCCCGCATATGCTCGGCTACCCTGTAAATAGTTGTTTTCTGTTAATTGAAAAGAGAAAGTTCGAAGTAAAAAAATTTTCTTCGTACCGTAACGTTAGATAAATAAACTAGAATAGGATTATGTGTTTTTTGTTGCTTGATCCCTGCAATGTATATTAAACGCGTATTCGTAATATCTATCGTATCGGGATATTTCATTGATCTGAAATTGTATATGTAGAGCTGGATTCCCGAGACAATGAATTGCAGAAGGAAATATAGAATTAAAAATTGTAAACTATAAATGGATAATATGTTTGACAAAAACATGTGAATTTTATTCGTGAATAAAAAGTAACCATTGCCTTGGAGATCAAACTAGAGTTGAATGATTGCAACTGGTTAATTGATTAGAATGACTAAGTTAGAAAATTCTTATCAACGAAAACTGAGTTTTCTTTCTAAATTTTTGCAGGGGGGACAGCGAAAATTCTCGATCGGGCGACTTCACCGGGCTCGAAATGGTGTTAGGCACTTCAAGTCTGAACATACATATATTTCATCCAAACTTGAACGCCTAGTCTGTTCTTGAACGCGTTCATACTCGGAGCGTCAACGATGTAATCGGGGAGGCTGTTCCACATGTCGGTGATTCGAAGCGAGAATGTCGCGTGGGTGTCGAAGAAATGTCGCGTGGATGAGTTCCAGCGCAGTTTTTTTACAACACTTCTCTTTAACTTCACTTCTTGTTTGTCTGCTACAAATCTTGTAATCGAATTTTAATATATTTCTACTTATCCTATCGATTTGAAATTTTGCACACTTGTGTAAAGTTGGAGACAATGCATGAATCAATTGTCAAAATAAATTATTTTAAAAATTAAAAAGATTTTTGTTTTCAATATTAAAAAATTGAAAAAAAAATTTTGTCAGCTACAAATCTTATAACTGATATTTGACACACTTTACCTGTGTAATTGATCTGAAATTTTGCACACTTGTGTGAAGTCAGAGGCAATGCATGAATCAATTGACAGAGTAAATAATTTTGAGAAAAAAAATTATATATTAAAAAAATTGTACATATTAAAAAAAATTGAAAAATTAATTTTTTATTATTCGAAAATTAGATTAGAAATTCATTGTACATCTGTAAGATTGGAGACACTGGATTTTTTGGAAGTGTTGTCTTTAAAAAGTAATTTTTAAACGTATATTATTTAGTTTATAGCTGCGGCCCTTGGTGTTGGTTTTTGTTTCAAATTCAAATACCAATCCTTCTTAGACCTTGTATAAACTATGAGTATACTTATATACTTCAATGAGGTCCCCACGCAGACATCGATAACTGAGGCGTGGAAGCTTCATATCTTTGATTTTTCATCATAGGACTTTCCCTTCAAGCCTGGAATTATCCTTGTTGCACGCCGCCGAACATTCTGTATTAAATTTGAGTCCTTTTCAAGTTTCGGTGACCACACAACGTTTCCAAACTCTAGATTATCAACAAACAACAGCTTCATCGCTTCTGCATCTAGGAACTCGTAAGAGCGTCTGTTCAGTCCAAGAAGTTTGTGGATTTATTTGCTTGCGTTTCAACATGCTTAGAAAATTTCGCTCCTTTTCAACATAAACTCCCAAATCTTTTTCCACACTAGACTTTTCAATCATTACTCACCCGTTGCAACCCTGTCTTCTCTACTGTAATCTTGCTGTTCATTGTTCTTCCCGAGGTGAAGTACTTTACACTTGTCAGCATTAAAACGCAGCTGTCACGTTTCAGCCCAATTATCTAAATTGTCTAGATCATCTTGCAATTGCACTTTATTTTACTCATCCTTAACTGTATTATAAATTTTTGTGTCGTCGGCATACATGGAGCACACGCTTGGCACTACTTCTGGCAGATCGTTTATAAAAAAATTAGATCAGTACTCGCTGCAGTGAGTGACAGAGAGCGCATTTCTCGTCCGTGTGTGAAGTCACGGACGGACGGACATGACGAGAACAACAGCGCCTATTTTTCAATAAATGAGAAAATGCGCTAACAACGAAGAAAATAGGCCAAGAACGCTTCCTTGTGGCACGCCACTGCGCACTGATGCCCAGTCTGACACGATCCCGTTTCCCTCCATTCCCAAAGACTTCACTTTACGTTACAACCGCTCATGCTGAAAACTGTCAAACGCTCCTTAAAGCGTATGAAAAATTATAAAATGCAAAGATGAATAGATGAAGGAATGGTCTATGTTGAATGAAGCTGGGCTCACAGCAGATACACAAAAATATCAATACTGTGGCAACAATTCATGCAAGGCTCATGAGAGCTGCGGTCATGGGCGTGTTGAAGGCTCATGAGAGCTGCGGTCATGGGCGTGTTGAAGGCTCATGAGAGCTGCGGTCATGGGCGTGTTGAAGGCTCATGAGAGCTGCGGTCATGGGCGTGTTGAAGGCTCATGAGAGCTGCGGTCATGGGCGTGTTGAAGGCTCATGAGAGNATGCACTCTACGAGACCCCATGCGTCTACATGCATTCTACGAGACCCCATGCGTCTACATGCATTCTACGAGACCCCATGCGTCTACATGCATTCTACGAGACCCCATGCGTCTACATGCATTCTACGAGAGCTGTATGTATGTATTTTCATACAGGCCTAAACTGAGCGGTCCTGCAGATGCTTAACGTGTGTGATCGCTGGAACCTGCCTCCGCGCAGCTGATGCAATTACCCTGGTGCCGAAGGTATAGAAAATAAATTCTAAAACACGTATGCTAAATAGGTACCAATAAACTAAGATAAATGTTGCATAAAGTGATAATAGTGAGTCAATAATCGGTCAATTTAATTTCACTGACGTCTGGGAAAATTTTGAAGACGAATTAACTGAAGAATTTTGCATTGAAATCAATACCTATATATAGCTAATACTTATCGGCATAATACATTATCTAGACCACATCCAAAATATTGAAAATGAACTGAAAATAGTTAAATTGGAATCTTGGTGATATAAATTGCAACAAAGAATATTAAAGAAAAAAAGGGCTTGCACATATAATATACTATATTTAGGAAAATTCATTTGTCTGGGAATAACTTCGAAAAACAAAAAATTGAATCAACCAAAAAAGGAGTAAAAAAATAAAGACAAAAAAATACGAATAATATCATAAAAAACAATACAAAATCTGTAGAACAATGAGTTCACCAAAATTTAGCTCTCAAAAAAAAAAAAAAAAAAAAATAGAATGGACGACGAGAAAACGGCGGAGATTTAAATTCGTACACTTTGCCAAGGAACTGCACGAGAAAGCGAGGAGAAAATACTTTCCGTGAGATGATGTCGAGGACGGAGCACAGTGCTTGTGTGGTTGTGCATGCTCGTTTCCATTGATGCATGCGGTCGACGGCAGCAATTGTCCTGTGAACGAAGAAAGCTCATGTCAAATCCAGTGAAAGCAAAATGATTTTAGGCCACTATGGGGGCTCGTATCAGGTTCATCGTCGGTAATTGAGTCAATAAAAAGGCAGAACAAGTCAGAGCCAAGTCATTTTAGTATGTGCATCCAAGCAGGTTAAACGTGTCCTGTCACATCGAGTCCTTCAAAAGCTAATTTAATATTCGTTAATCTCTTCTTGTTTAACTATTATCGAGAAAAAAAAAAACGTTTGCGTTTATATATATTTAATTGGTACGAAATTCATAAAATGCGATCGCTTCTCACTTTGAGTTGCTTACAGCTGCAATGTCGGTCGCTTATTTTGATCATTTCGAGTTGTTTGGCAGTTTGGTGTCTCTTACCAGGAGTGCTGACTGAAAGCTTCGTTCCTCAGCACGTATCAACGAACAGCTATGCGAATTTATCCTACAATGGCCCTGAATGGTTGCAAAATGAAACGTGGAGCGGCGGCGTTGCGAAATACAGGAAGCGAAGGTTCCTTACTTTCCCTACAGGTTCACTGCTCAATGTTAGTACTTGGATATCAATAAGATGAATCCCTACTACAGAACAAGTCATCATTGCATGTGATCATCAAAATCAATTGATGATCCGTGTCCCGGAGTGATTGCCATTACACCGATTTTATAGATTTTTCTTCAGTACATGAAATGTGTATAATTGCGTATTGTTATGCTAATACTTGCTCGATAAAATGTCATATATTGTTGCATTTTACAAATGAGACTTATGGGGCTCACTATACCTTTATAATTTGGTCAAAATGTTCGTGTTCATTGAAAAGTTAGCATTCGACTTTTGGAAACGAATAAACGTACGAATTATGTACCGCCTCACCAGCTTGGAGTGCTTCTAAAATGTTTTAATATCTGAATCCCTCAATAAACTAACATTAATTAATCCCTCAATTTTAGTATCTGAGTGGCTCCTGAATTGACTCAATTTACAATCGAGATTTTTCGTAACACAATAAAGTATGAAACTTATCATAAGATTATCGATCAAACTAAACAAAATTTAGTGCATTATTGAGTAGGATTTTGTAAATATATTTCCGTGATGAGGATTGATTTTAGAAAAAGTACAAAATATAGCTTCCAACTCTGATTTATTATTATAGTTAAGATCATCGAAGTATCATAAAATACCATTGCGGTTAGATTTATTTTTCGTTTCGAGGAACTATTCTTCAATACGATAATGTTTCATACGGAAACATTATTCTTCATGCGGGAACATTACTATTTCAACAAGAAATAGCTGCATTAATACCATTGCTGCTGAATATCCTCTATATATATACCGCGAAAGGTCAAGATTGTCTGCACGTCAGTTCGTGACATTCTCCTCTCTCTATTATGCGCAGGTCACTCTGCTGTTCGGCGTGCCCGTTCTTGGCATCGGAAGCTTCAGCGCGCTGGCCATCCAACACAAGACGGTGCTGCGGCTACCGAACGCCTCCACCAGCTTCAACTACGTTCTGGGCAGGAGCGCGACTGGCAGGGATGGCAGGATCGAGTTCTTTAGCAACTTCGAGACCTTCCTTGAAGGGTCAGTATTTGTATGTAGAGAAAATTACGCATAAAATTTGTACGTTTAGAAAATTATGTATAAAATTTGTACGTTTAGAAAATTATGTTTAAATTTTGTATGTTTCATTAAAGACCAGAGAATTTGTTTTATTCGCAATTTTATTATTTTATTTTTTTCCAATATATCGAACAATATTTTTAGTTTGAACTGGCAAATCGAAAATCAGGGTACCGATGGACATCTTTATTTAGTTAACGACGTTTCGAATGCTTCAATCAATCATTATCAAGTTGAAAGGCGCATTGAGTGACGAAATTTGGGTCGACGTAAGTACGAAATCATGTAAATAGGATACTAATAAAAAAACAGAATTGGTTAGAAGTAATGCCTAGTCACTAAAATATTAAGATGAACAAAAATCAAAACATTTGATTTTTGTTATTATATTATTTATAAGTACAAAATGTTTATTATTTTGTACTTATGTCGACCCAAATTTCGTCACTCAATGCCCCTTTAAAGGGAGCGTCTGCCCCAAAATCGAAAATTTTGACTTTTTCGGTTTTTATACTCATTTTAAAGCTTATATTCTGACGCATCTAACGGTACCAAAACCATCTCTGTACGTTGATTTATGCGTTCACGACATATCGCGAAAGGGTTAGGGGTGGCGGAGTTCTTCAATATTAAAGATAGGCCAAAATTACCTGTAGCACACTTATATAGCTAGTCTGAACACGCTGTGCTTCAGTTATCCGTCTGCAGTCCTATGGGATGGTTCTCGTGCCATCGTTCACACCATCCTTGACAGAAATTGAGCTCAAATATCGTCTAGTCTTGCAACCTTGCACCCTTGAATGTCTTTTTCGAGGCGCGCGCGACTTTGTCGGGCCCTACTGAAAAGTTAACTTGTTATCACTGCAAACCTATCTCCTCCCAGAGTTTTGAAGATACATCAATGAAACATATACCGTTCAATTTGCAAATAAAAGATCTACAAACTGGTGGTGGGCTTTTTCCAAGTTCGTTATAGTTCGGATTATATTTTGCAAAAAGGGGGGAGGGCGGAGGTAAAATTGAAAAATTTCGAAGAATTTTGGAAAAAATGCTCCCACACCCACAAAAATTAAAAAAAAACCCTACCACCAGTTTTTAGATATGGTCTTTACGCATCGAATGATATGTGTCTCGATGTTTAGCTTGAAAATCCTAGAAGGAGTTAGGATTTCTAGAGTACTCCCTTTTTGGCCGTTTTCTAAGAATTTCAAGTTTTCTTTCATTTTTTTCGGAAAATTCACATGAACAAAAAAAATTTCGTTTTACATACGTGTACCAAATTTTGAATCGATCCGTCTGTTGATATCCGAGATAATTTTTGGGGCAGACGCTCCCCTTAACTTGAAAATGAATGATTGAAACATTCGAAACGTCGTTAACGAAATAAAAATGGCCATCGGTACCCTGATTTTTGATTTGCCAGTTCAAACTAAAAATATTGTTCGAAATATTGAAAAAAACTTAAAATAAAATTACGAATAAAACAAATTTTCTCGTCTCCAATGAAACCTGTTTGAGAGAAGAAATTCTGCCAACCTATACTAAATTTGTATGTATAGAGAATTATGTATAAAATTTGTATGTATAGATAATTATGGGTAAAATTTGTATGTATAGAAAATTATTTATAAATTTTGCATATATAGAAATGTGTGAGAGACAATAACTTCGTACAGAACTACACAAAATGAAGGCTGTATCGAATCAAACATTGGTTTATAAGTTTAATTCTTACCTAAATTTTTAGGTCTAGGACCAAAACTTCAGGCAGGTTTTGTTCGCTTAACATTTTTTCAAGCTTCTCTTTTCATGTAGACGTTGTAAGTCTGGTTCGGTATCATTGCTGAGTCACTGCGCTAATAAGAGTACTATGCCAATGGGACATACTGCTGCTATATAGAATGCACTCTTGTGACGTGTTTTGTTGCCGATATAGTAATGCCATAACGACACACGTGGCGTGTTTCATATCTGATGAGATACACGGCACGCTATATTGGCGAGTTTCATTCATTTCAACTTTCAATACTGCTGTGTTGTTGCGTGCTCTTGATTGAGCTTTGTTACCACTCAAATTGACAGACATACTTAGTTTTGCATTTAGGAAAATTTTTGATTGAAATGGTTCCACTAAGAATAAAATTGATATAAATTTATGTGACAAACATCAAAATTTTGTTCCTCAGCTAAGTCATGCTGATGGTCCGCAGTGATTTGCTTAGTGTAACAGGTTTATCTTTGTGAACACGTGTCGTTGATGTGTCAGGTTTGGTCTGAACGGTCAAGCCTGCGCCCTGCGCGCCATCTGTGAAATTGCGGAGATGCCCTTCGACCACGGCCTGGTGGGGGAGGTCATCAACCTGATATTCTCGTGAGTGTTTCCTGTTATCAAAGAGTTTCTTATTCAATTTATTCTATAGGATCGTTTTAAAGGCATGAACATCATACTTTACTTTATAAAATGCTGGCACTAACTGTATGATTTTCAATGATCTATACAAGTAGCAACCGTGAGTACTTTATTTCATTGAATGAAAGCGATTGACTACATGTCTAATTTTTAAATAAATAATTTGCGTCACAGACAATAAAGACGATGCACAGAGCTTCTTCCAATACAAAGTCTTAAAGAAGAATTACGGTGATAATTTTATCCAATTTAGCCCTATTTACTACAACATTTCGCTTTAACTTCACTTCTTGTTTGTCTGTCTGCTACAAATCTTATAATCGAAATTTAACACACTTCCACTTATCCTATCGATCGGAAATTTTGCACACTTGCGTAAAGTTGGAGACAATGCTTGAATCAAATAAAAAAATAGATGATTTCAAAAATTAAAATTTTTTCAATATTAAGAAATTTGAAAAAATAATTTTGTCTGCTACAAATCTTATAATCGATATTTAACACATGTCTAGCTGTCCAATCTATATGAAATTTTGCAGACTTGTGTGAAGTCGGAGGCAATGCATGAATCAATTGATAGAGTAAATAACTTTAAAAAATTATATATTAAAAAAATTGCAAAATAAAATTTTTTAATATTTGAAAATAAAATGAGATTCATTGTATATCTGTAACATTGGAGACACTGGATTCTTTAGAAGTGTTGTCTTTAAAAAGTAATTTTTAAACGTATATTATTCTTTATTAGTTCATTCGTTTCGACGAAATGTGAATGAATTGTATTGAATGACAATTTATTGGGAATGATTTGTAATTATAACTTGTGTACAAACCAGTAATAATGTCTCCATCAAAATGAAATGTCCGCCAAATCTCCCTCAGAATCATGACGTTCTCGGAGGCGAGTTCAGAGCAGGACGAGTACAGCAGAGCCGAGTACAGCGGCCGCTACCACGGCGACTGCTCGGCGCTCTATCCCTCCTGCGGCGCGTCAGTGGCCGACGCTCTCTCCGCAGTTATTTAGGATAGCAAACTTTATATATGATAAACTCGTTCAAATTTATTTATTTGGTTGTTATGGATGCAGTTGGACATGTTATGGACACTATCATTAAGTACATTATAGCCTCGTAATAAGAGGTTAAAGTAGCAGTGCACATATATAGTAGCTGACTTTTAAATTGTCTGAAATTAAATTTCATCGTATTTAATGATCTTTGTTGGTCACTGACCCAAAAATATGTTAAGTTCGGAATTTCCTGTTGTTATCCTTTATAAAATTTAAATCGATGAATTTTCTGGTCATTAACCGCCCGAGTTTCAATTTAATGTTATGTGAGCGTTTGTGTGTCACCTCCATCGATAAAACATTGAAATATAAAGAGTATTTCTTTGCTACTCTGAGGAATAATTAATAATCGCCATTTTTCTGCGCTCTCACGTTGAAATAATGTCTATGCCACCACGAGGCATTGCAGCACGAGGGTCTGAATAGAAAATTTCAATTTAATACCAGTCTTACAAATAGTACGAAATTGAAAGTTTGTTTTTATGAGCTTTCCGCGAGCTCAATGTCGCATAAGTTGCGTGCGTTCGTCACTTCTAGCCGTCTAGCTTTCAAGAACTCCAGATAGGTCGTTAACGCTGACAAATGTAAAGTAATCCACCTTGGCAAGAATAATGAATATCAAGATTGCAGTATGAGACGATACGGTTGCAACGACAGAGTGATATGATGTCAAAATCGACAATGGAAAAAGATTTAGGAGTTAATATTGACAATAAGTTGAAAATTTCTAAGCATATTGAAGGTCAAGTTAAGAAAGCCAATAAACAACTTGGACTGATCACAAGCTTTTTCGAGTTCCTAGATGCAGAAGCGATGAAGCAATTGTTTGTTGCTGTCGTGTGGTCACCGAAACTTGAAAAGGACAAAAATTTAATAGAGAGTGTTCAAAGATGTGCAACAAGGATAATTCCGGGCTTGAAAGGCAAGTCCTATGAGGAAAGATTAAAGATTATGAAGCTTCCAAGCCTCAGTTATCGACGTCTGCGTAGGGAACTCATTGAAGCATACAAGTATACTCATGGCTTATACAAGGTCCCAGAAGGATTACTAGAATTTGAATCAAGAACCAACACCAGGGGTCACGGCTATAAACTAAAATAAAACGGCTTTGTAACACATCTATGCGACAACATTTTATCTCGCTTCGAGTCACCGACATGTGGAACAGCCTCCCTGATAGCATCGTTGACGCTCCGAGTATATGAACGCCTTCAAGAACAGACTAGACGAAGCTCTTATTAAACTCACCGTGCCCGATATAATAATACCATTAGAGTTACTGTGTGTTTCTATTGTCGTGCCTCAGTCCTCCTTAATTGGAACACTTAGAACAACCCTGACTCTCAGAAGAATTATTATTAAGTAACCTCAGTAACTAACCCATCAGATGTCGATAGAAACCGGCATCTGACACATGAATAAGGAATAGTTTCAACTTAAAACGATGCATGCATCACGGTAATCTCCGCGTGAGGAATAATGTTCTGGCACGTGTGATAAATGAAGGGAAAAGAATCTAATACAATGACAATAAAGTTAATACAGCCATTTTTAGCATTTATTGAAATTTCTTGCGATATGTCTTCCTTCTTAGGGAGGAGTTGAAGTTTTGGGTCTGCTGAGCAGCTCAACAAATTCCGAGTGGTTTGCAGATGAAACGAGGTCAAGAGCTGGAAACAGAATTAGACTTGTAACAGGTACATAGTAAATACAAAGATGTATAAGATCAATCGTCATGTATTCCTTCATCGACCCAGGCCATGATCTGATTAGGTCTTTGACTGGAGTGTGAAAAAAACATTAATCATAGCATAAAAAACATTAAAAAGTGATATCTCATATTTATGGATACAAGCTCTTGGTTTAAATGTCCAATTTCACTGTTGGAACTGCGATCAAATCTAACTCTCAAATTATATCAAATCCTGAGGCTGAATCAAATTCAGAGTTGAGCGCTATCATTAAAAAACCCATCATATCATGACATGTAACCCTGAAAGAACTTGCAAAGCTTTGAGACGGGGGGGATCAAATAAAGGATTTAGTAAAAATAATGCCTAGGACCTAGGATGACGAACAAAAAAGTGTTCAACACTTAAATTTCCAGACAATATAGGTGCTAGTCTAGAATATGTATTTTGATGCACACTATTGCGTGAACCTCAACAAACAAAAAGGCATTTAGTTTGTAATTAGTCCGGAATTACTTCGTTTGGTGGAATTACTTTGTCACTGTTTTTCGTAAATCTAGAGTTATTTTATCCAACATTAAAGCTGTGAGAAGAAAAACAATATGAATCCTTATCGTACTACTGTGGGACTCAGACAATACGACTCAATCCTAGAATGGCGACCGAGTAACGAACACCCTCAGGCGGAAGAGCGCGGAACAGTCTACCATATCGATGATCAAGGCAAACATGAACACAACGAAGGTGAAGTACGTCGCTGAAACTAATGACGAATGAAACAGACACGGTAATAAATCGTAACCATTAATTCAGTATTTGAAAGAATTTTTCCGTTAGTGGATCTTTCTCCTCACAACTTTGACTAGGGAAATGAAAGAAAAAAATATTACTATGTAGTAATGGATACTCAATATTATTGGATATTCAATAGTACTAAGAGAGAGTGAGTTCACCCTGGAGACCTTCAAGAGACGACAGGACGTGTTCCTGGGCACGGTCCCTGATCGTCCGCCCCTGGGCCTATACTTTCAAAAAAGTTAAGAGATCGTAAGTTCATTAGCCAATCATTGACGGCCTTTCAAGCAAAATCCACTAATCATAAACAAGGAAATAGAGCGTAAGTGCTTACGTTCACTTAGCGAGTTTTGAAAGTATAGGCCCTGGACCACTATATACCAGCGGCAAGAAGCAAGCAACAGCATCGTGCATCAGGTGGCCCAAATGAGGGCGGATGAAAGATAATCAGAGGCAGCGATCCATCGTGGCCTGGGACTGCAACGTCCGAAACGTTTACTAAGATTACTAAGTATTGGTCACTCAATAGTATTGGTTACTCAATAGTATTGATTACTCAATAGTTTTGGCTAGTTGTAGTTGTTTTTTTATGAAAGTGAAATATTAATAAAAAACTATTTTATCAATTAAAATCTAAAAATTCAGTGAAATAATGCAGTGGTGAGGTCAGCATCTGAGCGGCCGTTGCGGTCTAGCGTGACGGCGGGACAGCCTGCACAGGCTGTCGGGGAGTCTCAGTTTTGGAGTTGCGCGTTCCGTAGGCCGGACGAATTGCATTCTCTTGTGGTAGCGGGCGCCGCTGGTAACTCTTGTATTGGTGCCCGACTGTCCCGTGTTTAGGATGCTGTTCATCCTTCCTCATTCGGTTGCGAACGTTGTTCTCTCCCAGCCAGCTTTAGAAGGTCTGTCAATTAAGAATCAAAACTTAAACTTTGTTGGTGATGTAGCTTGGAAAATTTGTGATGAGTCTGCAGAGGTGGGCAGTAGCGCGCTACATGTAGCGGTAGCGCCCGCTACATATTTAAGTAGCGACACGAGGTTTTGCCGCTACAGCGCTACCGCTACATTTATAAATAAAGCCTTTAGAAGTTTAGATTTTACTTAATAATATTAAATATTATTAAAAAACCAGCATGATACATGCATAATATAAATTACAGAATAAAACTGTACGAAAGATTTCGGTGTAATGTTGTCAACCTCAGCCTGTTACTAGTGTCAATATGCTATAGTTGTTACTTGTTAAGTTGTGACCAGTTACCTCTTACAGGTATTTTTTATGTTTCAGTTTGCTTCCAGTTATTTTTACATAGTTATTTTTATGTTTCACCTTCCCTACATGTGTGTCTACTTTAATCTACCAATTTCAAAAATAATCCACATATATATACAAATAAAAGACTGATTTTTCATATGTATATGTGGATAATTTTTGAGATAGGTATAGATTAAAGTAGACATCCATGTAGGGAAGGTAAAACATAAAAATATCTAACTTTTATTTACTGTATCTAACCCATACTAGTTCGGTTAGGTTAATTGCAATAAAGTTGCACTGATATGTTTTGAAAATTTTTTATTATTAAATGTTTATGAGTAAATCCCAATAGCAGAACAATAAATATTTAGAGATTTCCAATAATTTTGGCCATTGTAGCGACTAATGTAGCGGCGCTACATTTTACTGTAGCGGTAGCGCTCGCTACAATCTAGTGGGTGTAGCGGTAGCGGTAGCGCCCGCTACATTTAGAGCATTTAGCGGTAGCGCCGCTACATTTCACAGTAGCGCTGCCCAGCTCTGTGAGTCTGTACGTGATACCCTAGTAAAGTCTGTCAGCAACACAACTCTTCCATTTTAGTTGTTGAGATTATAGAAGCGTTTCGAAGAATTTACGCGAGGTACTGTTTTTACTTTTAAAACATCTTAGATTATTGATTGTAGCTAAATTAATAAGCGACCACTTACCGGTCACGGACTTGATACAACTTTGCTATTAAGAGTGTGAATACTGTCTATAATTACCCTATATCTTCCCAACCTTATGAAGGTATGACTTAGCAACTTTCTAATGGTGTAATTTCCACTCATTGGATGCGTCTTGTTACGAGAACAAAAGAACAAAAAGCATTTGCACCTCAGAAGGCTTCATTGTTGCGCGTTTCCTGCATCCCTAAGGCGGAGTTCAATTCGTTAGCAGGTTAGTTTTCCATCCCGCAGCTCGTCGAGCCAACCACGCCAGCGACCTCTTCTAGTCTAAATTTGTGTTCAGCCATCTCACCTGCATTTATGCGCCTCGCTAGGATGAATTCAGCGGTTCATTCTTGCCAATTTCACCGCGTTACCTATTAGGGCCAGACTCAGCTTTGCTACTCATAATGGAATGCTTATGTGACGTGGTCAATGCTAAGTTTCCTGATGTAATTTGAGATTTTTTAAATTTTTTCTCCAGTATATTTATTTGTTTTCGT